TATATGGGACTTCCTCTGAGTTTGCCTCTTCGGTGCTGTGCTCTGCACTGTGATCCAATGAAAACTTTCCTCTCAAGGATTGTTTTGATACCGAATGGATAAGTGGTCTGAGTTTTCGTTTTATTCGGTTGAGGGTTGGAAAACGGGGAATCTCCGAATCGCTTCCTTCACTCATAGGAAAGGAGAAAATTGTACCGGAAGTATCTTCTTGTCTTGATGCACGTTTAGATGTATTCGTAGATGATTTTTGAAGAAACCGATCACCATTTTGTATTGATGAAGAGTGGTTGTTACCAGAAGTTGTAGACCTAGTTGACACGAAGCGTGAAGTATTTTGTGCTGGAATAGGTTCTGATCCTCTGCGTCGGGAGCTGAATAGAGATTTTGTGGCAGACCATGTTGGTTTCCATCTCTCCTCGGTTTGCTTGAAACTAGTGATGGCTCCGGTACGCAATAGATTATCTTCTGCACCAGAGCCACCACGCAAGCTGACTTTTCTTCGACTGTGAGCATCAGCCTCAGGATTATCGATAAGATACTCATGAGTGAAATCAGAATCGCTATTTGGTAAGTTATAAAACGAGGGTGCGGAGGCAAGATCCCGTAGTTCAATCTCATCAATAATGATAGATTCATGACCTTCTTCACACTTTTTGATGGTTATTTTAGTAAGAGTATTCAAAGGCGCGGTAGAAGTAGCAGGCGAATCAATCCTTTCCGCAGCTTGAGGCATAAGAGGTCTAACAGTAGAATCGCTGATAGCAGAATGACTTCGGGAAATTCTGTTGCTCCTGCTTCGATCGTCAGCTCCATCACCAATTCGCAGAGCTCCTGGCCACACAGGAGCTGCTTGCATCGTTGCGCCAGGATTGGTGCGACGGTTGGATTTTATATAGCGCCCAATGTCATCCGTACAACAGCAGAAACTCATTAGAATCATAAAGCACACGCATACAGCTATTATATACATAAGCTGGTATGGGGTGACTGCAAGGCGTCCGAACTGTGGAAAATTCGAATGTACATTCGTAGATGGTTCGCTTTGAACGTTTGTAGGTGTAGGGTTTGCGACGGCTAGTTGAATGTTCGACGGTTCTCTGTACAATAGAGAGGTTATGAGTGTCTGAATAGGTTCTAAGGTAGAAGTTTTCGTGGTTGTTATGGTTGGTAAAGCGAGCCAACTACTCCTTGTACTCGTAGAAATCGATGTTATCAAAGTGTTTTGCACAAGCTCGCGACTTGCCACGATAGTAGATGTAACGAACTCCGGAGCTATTCCTATTGGATCTTGTAAAAATCGAAGAATAGCCATGTTGTCTTTGTTTATTGTTTGAAACGGTGCGTGTCAAGGCGTTGCAGTCAATAAACTATATATTTAGGTATGCCTCTGTAAGTTAAATTGATAATGCAATGTCTAGTTGTAGATTTGTGATTGTGTAACAATGCGCAGGATTGAGAAATATCAGTATCCAAATGTGCGGGTTTGTGAGGCAACGAGAGAGAGAAAGGAAAAGAGGTATAATGGTTTTAACTAATGGTTGATAATACAGGAAAGAGCGATCGTGAGCTGAATTGAACTGCCAATGATGAATCTGGAAGCTGCACCTCATCCTCCAACTGACTGCCGCAGCTTTATCGACACTGTTTTTCTGAATATATCATTTCAGATCTAACGATCCAACAAAACTTAAATCTTTCAGATTAATCCCCTCTTTAAAAGGATTTTCTTAGACTTTCGAACCTAACATTACTTGAGCTTCTTTGGGAGGCGCGATTTTCCAACTTCCCAATTTCCAATCCATGCATCTGCGAGGGTTTGGATCTTGCCAGTGTTTGAATGTCGCTGTTGTTTAGAAGGCGCACGGCGAGCTCTAATTATAATGGCGTATAGCAGACAGTTTCCTACTGACATAGTTCTTGGGATTGCTGTAGATACACCACTTCTCTGCCATGGCCAATTAACTATTAGGCTAGCGCCAAAACTTGCCGGGAAACTAAATACAACCATCATTCAGATCTCAGATCTTGCCAAAAGAGGGCAAGAAAACAACAAAAGACCTGGATTCAAATCACTGAAAATTTAAAAAGGAGGAAAGCGTGTTCAAGATGAGGCATCTTTTGAGTTGATTAAGAAAAGGGGAAGCCTCCGCAGTTCTCGCTTACAAGATCCATGACTTTAAGAAGTGGACTGGCAAGGTCAGATAACAAGCATCTATAGGCCATTTCAAGACCATTGAGATGCAACCAGCTATTCAAAAAGGCGAACTTTCAATCCCCATGTTCTCCGGACACATATCATGTGTGAAGAGCAGTTGTAGTAGACAGACCTAGTGGCTGAGCTAGCTTGGGTTGATCTTTCCCCCTTTGTCAATAATTCCAGGAAATCAGTGCTGTTGATCAAATCGAATCTATCAATTGATGTTTCCCAGTTCTGGATCTACTGATTTCTTGACTTTGTAAAACAACTACAACATTTAAACTATGTTGTCATGCTATTGAGATACAAGACCTATAAGTGGTTGGCTGACAAAGTTGCCATCTTGGTCAGTTGAGCTACCCGTAATAAATTTGGCGCGTCGCGACTTTTCCACTTTAGCACGCGTTACCCCAATTCAATCCGTACATGCATAGCAGTGAGGAACATTCTAACTTAACATTGGGACACAATTTTGAAATAACGACAAAATGATACGTCAAGACCCAAACAGATTCTCCAAGAGACAAAAGCCAGACTACAGGAAAACTCAATTTGCAGAAAAGCCTGCCTACAAAGATCTCAACTACCCGCACCGTTTGAATTTCTACACAATACCTCCTACGGCTGATATAACTCTGGAACAATTTGAGCAATGGGCTATTGATCGTCTGCGAGGTATTTCAACAACTTAGTCATACCTGCGAATATATAATAACATAATAAACAGTTCTCGCAGAACTCGAAGCATGTTCATTCAGAAACAGAACCCCTGCCGAGACAGCAGCCCACATGAAGCCCCTTCTCGATAAATATTTACCACTTTCTGCTTCTTCGTCTGGTTCTAGCGCACTGCAGGCCGAGAGACAGAAGGATCATTACAGTCATTTTATCCTGCGGCTTGCTTTCGCTTCTACAGAAGACTTGCGAAGACGATTTTCTCGTGTGGAGTCTATGCTATTCCGTTTGCGGTTCCAGGCAGACGATTTAAGGGAACGGCAATCGTTTGTGGAGGGCCTCAATCTAGATTGGGAGACGGTGAGTGAGGATGAGAAAAGAGATTATTGGGAGCAATTGAAGGGTGCAGCCGGCAGAGATAAGATGAGGATTGAAGAAGAGAGTTGGTTCAAAGTAGACTGGGAGAGAGTCCCGGAATTAGTAGAGAGTCGGAGAGTATTTTTAAGGGGTGGAAAGGCGTATGTTCATTCCAGGGAACAACTTTCAATGGTTGTTGCGGAATTTACAAGCAAGCTGGATAAAGCTTTGGAGGTTTGTTTGATTTTTCTAAATCCTTATTACGAATTATTCTAATTGCTCACTCAGATCACATCTCGCGCACTTCCTCGGCTTGATGAAGATGATCGACTAACACCAATTCTTACACATCTTTCTCAAAACTTCACCACACCGGATGCGAATTACTCCAGCTCAGCAACTGCAGTCGATGGAGCTGACATATCCGCCCGTAATATCGACGCACTTTCCTCTTCATTCCCTCTCTGCATGCAAAACCTCCATAAATCCCTCCGCCGGGATGCACATCTCAAACATTACGGTCGTCTGCAATACACCCTATTCCTCAAGGGTATCGGCTTGAATCTGGAAGAATGTCTCGTATTCTGGCGCTCCGCCTTCAGTAAAATCACAGATGATGTCTTCAATAAAGAATACAGATACAATGTTCGTCACTCGTATGGTGACGTGGGAGGAGATTCGAATCGCAGAGGCAATGGGTATTCTCCGTTTAGTTGTCAGAAGATATTGACGGAGCATCCTCCGGGACCAGGAGAATCACACGGTTGTCCTTACAGGCATTTTAGTGTGGACAATCTAACTTCATTATTGCGCGCCGTAGGCGTGAACGACCATGAGGTTTTGAGAGGAGTAAAAGAAGATAAAGAGAAGCAGAAGTTCCATCTTTGCTTGCAATAGGTATGTAATGTAAGAATGCTTCTTCGAAAGCTGCTAACAGATAATGTCCAGAGTCTTCGAGTACGCACATAAGCAGGAGATTAAGAAAGTGAAAGATGATGGTACATGGGGTGCAGCACAATTAGAAACCATTGTACACCCCAATGAGTACTTTAAACGAAGTTATCTACTCAGAAATATGAGCAAAGCCCCTGCTGTAGGGGAGGATGTCAAAATGGATGGTTAAGTAATGTATGAATTGTATATGACATAGGTTAGTACTGGCGTTACTGGTTGGGAGTAGAGAGTGTCTTGTACGTCCTGTATGATAAGATACCATAATCAAGACTCAATGTCCTTTTTTTCCTAGTGAGGCAAGCAATGCATACATCAAGAGTACACCTTCACTCTAATCACACTTCGTTCTTCTGAACCTTCTCGTTCATTTGACACTCGTCTGTTCCTTTTGGATGTACAATGGTCTCAAGAATTTTCCGACGATACTCCTTCTCTGCTGCTATTTCCTGGTTTTTTTTTCAACCTTTTTGGTCAACCAGACACTGACTTGCTCCGATAGTTTCAAGAAATGGTCAAAAATCAATCTTCCCCCTCGCTGGTTTCTAGACAATTTACATTCTAGATATTTTAGTGATCGATATATTTGGCCAAGGATTCGCACCACAAAGTCAGTCATCTCTCGCCATTCACTCTTTTCAAGTGCCCCACTTCACATTACGATTTATATTAAACAACAACTTTGCGCTAACACCTTGTCAAGCACTCACTCACGCACGAATAGTTCAGCAAAAAAACAGTTCAGCCACTACCCATTTATCCAAATCTCGAAATCAAACAGTCCTCGCCCTTCCAACTACATAAACAATTTCAAGCAAAAATGGCTGCCAGTTCACACACAGAGTCTGCTATAAGCCGAGAGGGATTCACACCCTCAGAGGTTCCAATGCTAGCCTTTGGTTTTTGCTTGGGTGCAATTTTGGGATTTATCGCTTGGTACCTTATGTATTTCTACATGCTTAATTTTGTATTCCCTCGAATCGATGGAGTGCAGGCTCAGGAGATTCTCCAGAGAGATCGTAGGAACTCCGGAGTCGATGATTAGGGACGAGATCTGTCGCCGTGGATGGTGTGAGTCTGTAGAGATTGTGAGAGTACCATCGCGCAATGAAGCATACCTCTTACCGGGGAGGGTGAGATGATATCGGGTTTTGAGACTTGAGGAAGAGCTGTGGCTTGAGCTGAGTCAGGTCGATCTATGTTGGAAACTCTTTGCACCACAGCACACTCGGCTTCAACAACTCCGAGTTCCAGCGCCGAGACACGACGACAATCAACACATCAACTCAATGAATCATTCTCGATTGATACTCTGCGGTTTATGAAATTTCTTCAGTGGGTGCTGAGAGAAGAATAGTGGTGCTTGGAGTCAGAAGCCATACGGATTTCCTTCCTTCGCAAGTACGTACGATCCTACAACCTCCATCCAACCTATGTCTCATTAGCTAATTCTATTATTTATCAGACGATAGAAGATGATTCATGCCAACTACCTGTGACGAATGCTGATTGCACACATTCCCGTTTCGGTGGTTAATCTCTTGGAGCGTCGTGTGCTAGATTAACTAAATCTATTAATTGCAAACGTCGATTGATCATTTCACTTAAGTTGCCATGATAAAATGTTTTCGTTTCATATCTGATTTTAAAAATGTAAATTCACAAGGAATTCTCACGTTTATTATTTCCCCATCCGAATCGTCAAGTGCAATTCTGCCCCCCAAAATAGCCGAAAACGGCAATTTCCACATCGTTTCCAAATTGGGCCTTTTGTAAACTTTTTCCGGAAATCCTTCTTTATTCACTTGTTTACAATAAATAGTCCATGATGCTTGTGTTTCTTGCTTTACAATATTTTTGTAGCTTTAGATGATGGGGAGAACATATAATTTATACGGGCCAAGAAATAAGAATATGTTAGATCTCCACCATCTCAACGCAGCGACTGTCGTGTGTGGATTGTTTCTGGGAGTTATGTTGGCGCTGATTGTTTTTATCGTTACATTTAGGGTGGCGGTGGATCATATGCAGGAATTAGAGGGACCAGGGATTGTCTAAGGGGATAGGGGCAAGAATCGACAAAGCTGCTTCTGAGTTGGAGATGCGTGAGAGATCAAGCTAGGCCTGTGGACAAATGCAGAGGATGAAATATCTGCGTTGGGAGACTCTGTGTAGATCTATTGCTAGGCTTCGGGGCGTATAGGTAGAGAAAAGGTCTAGAGGGACCAGAAGTATGGGTATGAAAATCTAGAGTTGTAAGTATGGTATTCAAGATGGTCCAGATAGTTCCTTTGGCTGGATACTGATGATAAGATTCATACATCTAGATTGAACAATCTGCATTGCAATATTCAGATTCACCGCCATAGCGGCACAATACAATCAGAGTCTGTTAATCTTATATTTGGCTTGTTATTCATCATATTCACTTTCGGCGAGAAATTAGTATGGATGGCAGATTGCAAGCAAGCCTGTAGCTTGCTCTGCAATTGCTATTCTTGTACTCCTCTTACAAGTCTACAACATCAAGGCACAATTCCTCTACCTATACAATTGTCAACATCTGTATGTACCTGTCTCTCTGCTTTCCCTTGCTATAACTAATTGTCACCGGCTAGATTATCCTATTTTGCGATCTGGTTTCGTAGATGATCTCATAATCGAAGTTCGAAGAATTTGAGGGACAGAAGACCAGTTATTGACAGATACTCTTTGCGCATCATTATCGTGGTCCCACAAACCCTTTCGACTACAGCCTCAATCTAGATTCATAGATATTTCCCAGATACACATCAAAAGACATCAAGATTCCAAAGCTGTCAGCAACAACATAATATCATTTAGAGGTCCAATCAACTCAGGTAGAGAATCGGATATTGAAACTATGGAAACCATGTCTCCTTTTTCAGCATTTGAGCATTCTGGAAGTCTCAGTGTTAGCGAACGGGCTGTCGACAAGACTGCAGCAATTGTAATGTTCGTTATCGGGATGTTGTTAGGACTGTCCTTCTTTATCCTTACACTGCGAATTTTCGATGAAACCATCCGACCAAAATACTTCCCATCACTCCCAAGCTTTCGCAGTTCGACAGAAAGAGTTACTAGGAGCTCAGGTGGCACACCTATCACGCCGATAGAGAGATATAGAGGGTTGGTTTAGATGCGGGTCAGATGGGTTATATGTTGGGGCTGCTTCGTGGGTGAATCCGAGTTGATTAAGTTTGGAGATATCGATTCTGTTCACAGAAATCATGGGTGGGGCGACCGGTTCAAGCCTTTGGGGTTAATCATGTGGTCATATATATCTCCTTTGCGCATTTCTAAATTAGCCGATGGTAAATGAAGAGCCTCAATTTCATATTTTGGTCTATACCTTGTCTTTCTTGTTCGTTAACTGATTGAATGCTTTTCCGATGTCTTTGTTGTGCATCTTTGTTGTGTATCGCTCGCGATTGACATAAAGAAAAGCGGAAAGACACTGGATTATATTTGTTTGTACCTATTTATTTTCAATCGGTATCTTCAAATTTTGATCGAAATATTTTCTGCTAATAATCATGGCAACGCGAGAAACTCCCTTTGCAGGAAAATATGGACATCCTCAAGGCCCAGGTCACGAAATACTCAGGGAGTGGCTCCCTTTGAAGAAAAGTGGATTGACACCGGCCTCACCAAGTGTAGTCGATTGGAGAAAGTTGGTGTCAGCAGATAGGCATAGGGCATTAGAAGATTACCAGAGAACGAGATTTTGGGGTAAGTGATCAATTATCTCAGGAAGTAGCCAAAACTGATTTGTGATAGGGTTTACTGCTCATGAGTTAGAACAAATTGGAGCACTGGCAGATATCAGGCCAGGTAAATGGGATTCCGATTCAACAACTGGACGGGTTGACCTTGGCACGGTTCCGATACACCCTATCTTTGAGAGGCAACATTGGGAAAGAGAAGATGTGATACCATTACATTTTCCCAAACATCCATATGGAGATGGCAACAAATTCTGGGAGGTAAGTGCAGGACTTTCAGATGGTAGGAACTGGATTTACTAGTGGAACTAGATCAAAGGCAACGATGAAATATGGGAGGCAATACAACCCGCTCTCAAGATTGTCACTCTTGTGCTGTCAAACGTCGCTACTTGGCAGTGGTAAAACTCTCGACTTTATCCATTGTCGTATTAATTTGCTGACAGAAAAAAGGTTCGATGCACTACTCAATGGCATGTACCAGAAAATACCTGATGATGAACTACCTGCCGAAATCAGAGGGTCTGATTACTGGCGTTTTTATCCTTCAAACCTCTTCAACTATCAGGAGCGAACTGCTACGTTCAATGAATTCTTAAATGAAATAGTAGGTTCAATAAGTTGGGGCTTCGGAATAGGACAAGTCTCCTTAGAATGTTTTCCCCAAGATGGGTACGTAAACGAATCACAAATTTTGGTGTCTTTCACATGAAACTCTGTATCCCAAGCTCAAGTCTCATCCTCTGTTTATCTCAAGAAACTCAAATGTAATTCCTAATTTAGCTTTCTTTTCTAATTTTCCCCAAAACTATTCTTGAACAGGGAACACTGACTCCCCTGGCATTAATAGGACCTATACCAACGGTATAACAGTTGGCCCTAGAAATTCGGTATTGAATCTCAAGGGTACTACTTTCATTTTGATTGCTCATGATTTAGTCGAACCGCTGTTGAATCCAAACTTGCTGCCGGAAGATAGAGCGTTAAACACCTTTCACATCGTCTCTGTGGTATTACACGAACTCACGGTTTGTGACTCTTCACTATTCTAGATGAAAAATTTCATTGCTGACTCAAAAAGCATGCAATGGTTACCTATCTATCAGCGAAAATGAAAGGTTCAGATTCGAGATATGACGGGGAACCTTATTTCATGGACGAGCCGATTGCTGAGACGTGAGTATTCAATTGAACTCATTTGTTTAACCCAACTAACGTATATATCTCAAGTGGATTTTCGATGCAATCATCCGTATGTTGCAATAAAACTTTTTACAATGAATACTAATGTTATTCAGGTATTTGGAGGAATCGACATCCCACTAGTCAGCGGTTTGGATCTCCCGGGCAAATCCTGTGGAGGAATAGTTCAGTAAGTGATCTTTTCGTCTTACATCTAGCTAGCAATACTCACTCGGAACTTAGATTTAATTTCCCCAGTGTGTGGTTTGGTGGAGTCTCTGGAGGTCCTGTGCTTCCCCCGTCAGAAACTCAGAAATTGTGGGATATCAGAGCGTGTTATCCAGTACCTGTAGATTGGTTCATGGGGCTACATGATCAAAATTTCTGGGGTTTTTACTTACGAGCGTAAGTACCATAAATATATCACACAATAGACTCTCAGGGCAGTGATCTAATTCATCCATTATAGTTTCGGTCCCAAGGCCACACACATGGGTCCGAAGATTGTTGGGCAATGGAATTTTAAAAGCGATCAACTATATGCAACAGCTCCTAAAGGCGATGAAGACGCCTCTTATCTCGATGTGCCATCATTAGCACGAGAATCTGAGATGGTGTCAGTTTATATAGAAAATGCGCGTCGGAGAAGGGTTAAAAAAATCATGGAGAGGGCTCAGAATATAAGTCCAAAGCAGCCAGGGCATTATCACTATTCGCAACGAGTAGCCCTGAAAGATAAAGCTCCATACTCGGGTCAAACTGTGAGCATACTTTGTCCTTTAATTCTGCATCTTCTTAACTCAGGAATGCTCTCATCATACATGTTTTTTCTCTTACCAGTTCACAAGCAAATTTGCTTATCGAAGATTTCTCTTGTTTCATTACATGATCACATGGACAGATACTGACTTGCTATTAATCTAGTGTCCAAGATACGATGAGATCAAGAAATATTTTGAGGATAACAGAACCGCTTTGGGACTAGGAGCCATGAAATTTATCATACCTTCACCCTTATTACGAAGTTATGTTGTACGCCATGGTGGAATCAACCTCACAAATTTAGAATGGACCAACTTTTTCGTAGTAGCTAATGGCCATAAGGAAATGTTTACGTAAGGATCCTACTCATGTATCCAAGGCATTTTTGAAAAGCACAATATACTTATAGATGAACAGATATAGTCACGCCGGACATGGAATGATTGGCTTAATCAAAGATGGCTGGAGGAGACCAGAAATTCCAATAGGACCTAAACGTCAACCGTCACTACTGCGTCGAGTATCAACCAGACTTCAATCTCCTGCTTCAAAGTCCAAGCGTGATAAACCGCAGCCGCCAAGTGATACACTAGCAAAAGTATTCGCAATTGTCTGCTCTGCTGTACTTAAGAAGGTTGATCCCCTAGAAGCAACATTAGATTTCTGCAAGAACAATTTTCGGATAACGTGTAACGTTGCTTGGGGATTAAACAGGAGTCTCCTCGAGAGAAAGGGTTATGAGATTCCGGACATGCCAAATGGATTTCCAGAGGATTCAAATCATCTTGATAGATGCATATATTGGTCAGACTTGTTTGATAATGAGGCTCCAGAAGGAATGATTAGAAGAATGAGATTCGAGGCACCAGCGCTTATAGAGCCAGAACTACGTGGCAGGAAAAAGTTGCGGAAGAAGTGTGTGTTTCAAAGTCAGGCTGAGAGATAAAATGATCTAGATTGAGACGTGGGATTTATGTGTTTACCTCTTCATCTGTTTGTTTACTTGTCCTTTCATTATCAAAGTAGTATGCTTAAGAATACAGCGAGGAATGTGAACCCTACGCTGGTTTATGACTATTGTATCTTCCGGTTCTGGTAATAGACCTATGGTTCTGTAGCCTATCTCTAATTGCAAGCCAATAGCCTTGTTGTGTTAGTATTCAATGGCACTTTACTTGATTCCACCTTGAACACTCTCTTGCTCCCTCTCTAGAGTCTATAGTCACATCCTTGTTTTCTCAAATTCGTGTCCTCCAAGATTCTTTTTCAAGCAAGTGGCTATCCTTGCAACCCTGCTCTATCCTTTTCGAAATCACACACATAATAGTATTATCTTCCATCTGTCAAACACATCCGGCAAGTAGATATACTGATACCCCTTGAAAAATACATAGCTCTGCACTATCTAATTTCCAACAACGTCCTCGTTATTAACCATTTTAATTAACCCTTTCGCCCATAAAGCAGGTATAGCCTTCTCATTCGTCCACTCCGTACATTTCCAGAATTTTGGTACTACCTCCTCATATCTATACGGCGTTCCATCTACCTTACAAGCTTCCATCTTCATGCTTTTCGGATTGAACCATCTCTGTCTTGGAGGCGGTGGAATACTCTTCAGAACTCCTGTCACTTCCTCTAAATCAGACACAGCAATTTTGCCCAAAAGATTTCTTTGATAGAATGACTCGAAAGACTCTGGTGGCGGTGAAGGGAACTTCAAATAACTCATTCCGCTAGCAGAGACGATATCTCCATTGACTTCATAGATCGTACCCGAGCCATCTTGGGAGGTTTCAATGAAGATATTGGTGTGGTAGCGTATAGCTTGAGGCATGAAAGGATCTTGCATTGCGAGATGCCATTGGATTTTGTAGATTTTGTAGGTTGGCAAAGTCATCTTTTCGTGCTGATATCGAGTAGGCATCAAAGAGTTGTTGTCAAGAATTGGTGAGGGAAATCTGGAAAACCATCATTGGCTAGTCTTGCTGCATACGGGGCTGAGGCTGATTTGCTGCAACTTCAAACATCGAACTACTTAGGTACGTAGTATGTTGGGCAAGCGAGGCAAGTAGCGCTAGCTCAAGGACTTAAGGCACTAGTCGTTAAGATTATCACGAAGGGTCACACCTTCAAAATCTATTCGAGCAAAGGTAAAAGCAATAGAAAGATAAAGGCTGCAACAACCAAGCACAGTATTGCAGCTATAGTGAAGAATCGACGAATCGCATCATATTCATATCTCTGTCGCGGGGGGGCAACCGTGACTGTCGCAATCAACGGAGTACGTTCGTTGCTCTCCATCATTTTATCGAGAGATCCTTATTAAGTTCAATCGAAGCTGGAGTCATCTAGACAATGAAGTTCAGCCGAGAGATTTTGACTAAGCGGGTTTGAATTCGAGTTTCGCATGCGTCATGGCATGTGAGATAGATAAATACATCTATCGATCATTTCGTCCCACTGTCATGCCATCGCCGACGTCGACTTGTTATTATTCGAAGCGGGGTGCCAATAACACGCTAAACACACTCCGCGGCCGCAATTCCGAAAATGCGGGGAGATTGCGACAGCTCTACAATAGTCAGCCACTTTCGCAAGTCCAATATCTCTCATATTTCGAACAATTGCCCCCTATCATTTGATAAAATGTCCCCTAGATTACCGTATCTTCCAAGACGACCGTTCACAAGTCTGCGAAGTCCTATATCAAAACGCTTCGAAACAACGGTAACGCGCCAACCAGATGCCATTTCAGATTCACGATGGCTGGGTACGATCAAAGCTAGGATTGGAAAATGTATAATGTTTGGAATGAGTCGAGAACAAGCACGAGATGCAGGGAAAATACTCGAAGTACTGGGGCGAGACTGGAGGGAATTGTTAGCTGGAAGACATGGTTATTTGGTGGATAAAAAGAGAGCTGGTCTAAGTCGACATAAGGTTGTCTGGGGGGAGATGGACTGTATGGTATATTCCCCTTTAAGGTAGAAGGGCTGGAGAACTATATCTTCCTAGATATATGTTGAAGTAAATCGGGGAGCTAACTGTTACTGCGCAACAGAAACATGTTAATAATGTCATGTATATACGATATGCAGAGAGTGCAAGAGTAAACTGGGCTCAAAATTATGCTGTTCATATCGATCCCCAAAATCAAGAAAAATGGAGACGAATGTGTACGCCAGAGGGCTATGGAATGATACTGAGAAGCATAAAGACGACCTATCTTTTTGTGAGTCTTTTCTAGTATTACCTTTCTCTATCGGATCGTGCGTGTACATTTACACTCTAGCTAACAAACATTAGCCGATGACATGGCCAGATCACATTTCCGTATATCACAAACTCACTCATAAACCCAAAAGTAAAGACGAATTCTCTTTCAAATTGGATGTCTTAATCGTATCGGAATTACATCAGCGAGCAGCTGCAAGATGCGAGGAAGATATTGTGACGTATGATTATGTAAAGGGAAAGAAAGAGGGCTTACAACCATGGCTTTTGGATGCTTTTGCGAAGACTTGGGACGAGCAAAATACGGCGATGAATAATGCACTGAAAAAGATCAAGGATATAGAAGAGAAGGTTAGGAAGTTGGAGGTTGATACATGGGACAGGGCAGATGCGGTAGAGGATATGGGAACACCGAACAAGGCTTGAAAGGCGATAGCTAAGGCACGAAAAGTGGTTATTGTCGATAATTCAGCACATTCACAAGGGCGAGAATCAGCTCTAGCTACGAGGTGTGCCGAAATATGTGCCAAAATTAGCATAGCTGGTTCACATGGTACCGACGCAGCAGCAGAACGAGAAGTCGTCCGAATCTGTAAATTTGGAAAGTAGAGCAAGGCTTATACTGGGAGATTGGTTTTGCATAGAATGTCGGTGATGAATGATAGAAGGATATGTAAGTGCGTATAAGAATCTTATGGACGTCGAAACACGTGCCTCAGTGCAAGCGATGGATGCCTCCCATCTCTCGATTTACAAAAGCCATTCAAACAGCAACCATCTGCCTCCTCTTGTTTCAAATGGGCTATCACTCATCCAGATCAGTCCAAGCACTCTACCTTGCATAATCTTCCCTCATCTTCTGCACAAACTCGGCAGAAAATCTAGCATCAAATCTTGTCACTATCAATATTAACAACACCATATTTCATTCCTCGTCAATCTATGTATATATACTAGCGAGTTGAGATTGAGAAAGTGGAAATTATTCTTTCCGCATGACGAGAGTGAAATTGGGCATAGATTCAAGGGATGGGCACGTTTGTATCCTTCCAATTCTATCGAACTCACGGCAATATCAAAAAATTTCGCCTATGTTTGTCATGTACGAATCATTCATCCATGAGTCAAATCGGCGCCTTTGTTCCATGTCAATGAGATAGGATTCTTCATTTCTCACATTCTCGCGAGGAAAGTTCTTCGAAATATTCTAGTCCCAAAAGCCAACAACGTTTCCGGGGACCTATCATACCTCTACCAAGATTCTAATTCAAGACACAACCAAATTCATTCAAGATTTCTTCTCATATTCACACTGAATACAATAAGAACCCCAATACATCTCAGTAAGCAACCCCACATCTTCCCACCACCCCAACTGCACATGTCCTATCTTCCTCCCTGGACACGCATAATGAAAATCTTTCACCATTTCCCAAACTCCCGGCCCCAAAGTCTCACTTGGCTGGTATCCCCATTGCGTCCCAGTTTTCGTCTTCCTCTCCACTAGATACCACACCGTCCCATCTTCCTCTTCTTTGGAACCCCAGACTGCTTCTATCTTTCCCAGGCTCCCCCCATTTGTCCCGAAATTAACCGGCCAGAATATATTGACAAAAAGGGTTTTCACGCATCGTAACATGAAATCAAGATAAAAAAGCCCTGGTATCGGCGCCTTCAGTACAATCCATCCCCACCATGATAAAGTCTTCGCCTGCCGTTTTGCTTCTACGTCTCCCAAATCGTAAATATCTCCGGGGATACGAGTCGGACCGGGAAGTTTATGCCAGGCCATGGGTGTGTACCATCCATACATTGGCTTATCTATCTCTTTCTCTTTTCCTTCCGTCGGTTCTGGTTCCGGATCAGGCCTCCAGTAACATTCATAATTCATTGATATTTCACTCATGCGCAATTCAGTAGCTTTTTTAGTATCCAGTTTCCATCTCGAATCTCCGAGCTCGGTAGAGGTAAGAGAACTGATGTCGACAAGAGGTCCAAGCTTACGACTCTTTACCGTGTTTAGAAAGCGTCTGTATGCTCGTTGAGCGCTGTATTCGTGTCAGTATAAAACAAAAATATACATCATCTCATTTCCATTTCCCATTCCAACTTCTAACAAGAACAAACTCACCCTCTCCTATGGCTCTCCCAATATCCATTAACCTGCAACGGCGCGCTGACCATCAAGCCCGGCACCACCAACTCTAACAATCCTCTATGCCAAAATTTAACATGTTTGCTCGTTGCAAATAGAAATGTGTGAGGCGTCACCACATTCTTTAATTCGTGGTAGTATTGCACGATGTTACTTTTATATCCCAGTCCCTGCATGAAGAGTTTTTCGATCCTGCTCAACCCGCGCGGAAAATAGAATGATATGGCGGTGTCGGGGAGTGCGAAATCTTCTCCTGAGTTGCGTGTTAGTTTTTGTAGAGCTATATATGATGAATAACACATGACATATAACATTTGAATTTGACGGTTAGCAGAACAAGCCCCTGAAAATACCGAAAGTAAACAGAAAACACTTACTCAAAATCTCCACCCAGCATTGAAACATGACCAATTGACACAATCCCTTCAATCCCTTCGCACCATATCCCACATCCAATTTCCATTCCTCTCCTATATCTTTCCTCCTCTCCTCTCCTCTCACCCACCGTCCATCCATCTTCCCAATCCCAACACAAACCGCCTTGGAAACCATCAAACACCCCAACGGTAAAATCTCACTCCGTATAAAGCCCACCTGCTCCGCATACAGCTCCGAGGCTTTCCAATGAGCCTTCAATTTATGCCATACCGCAATCATCTGACGCAAACGTAGCAGATCCTCCTTGGGCGGAATATTGCGACGTGGAACTGGATTTTTCACAGCGGGTTCAGCCATTTTGGGGAACCAATCAAAATATCCCTTGCGTATCAAAATAAAGTGTGAGCATAGGTTCCTAGGTTTTGCAAACTTTTGACGCGCTCGCATTTATAGACAAAGCGGAATCTAACAACATATCACCTAATGCAGATTGTTGCAAACCATGCATACATGCACATCGCACTTCTTTGTCAACAAAATTCTAGAGATCATGAAAGACCGAAAATTAGGCACGTACAAGGAAATCGATGAAAACAGAAACAAACAATTGGAACAAGAGATATCCACTTAGTAGATCCCACGAAAAATGCTCAAGTTCCAGGCGAAGAGTAATAGCTACCTGATTGATGGTACTAGTACCAAAGAAACACAGTGATTAGCCAAAACCTTGAGTGACTGTATGCCATGTAAACATCGATAGTTTATTTATACTGTTTTGTAGTAGTATCGTATGAATATCACTCGCAGTGATGTCTTGTTCAGTATCGAAATACCTGTGTATATCATCATTCACCAAATCAATCAAAGTAGTGGAAATGAATTTGAAAAAGGGCAAAACAAGTTTATCACGTTGTTCTATACACTAACATGTATCTTGTTTTGCTTGCATATATCTCATCTCATCTCAAATCACCCTCGCATACCCATATTCCCCCCTTCCCGTCTCCCACGCTTTGCCCGGTCAGATCTCATCCCTGACACGGTCACACCATCCACCTCTGAAACCTAATCATTACATGAAAACAAACCCCGATAAGACCGCAAAAGAGAGTGTGAAAAAAGTAGGTTCG